CCCCCCAAGTCGTGTCCCCCCCCCGGGCCCCTCACCCATTTGCCGGAGCAGGGGGGGCTCCTCGTAGGGGTCGAAGGTGAGGGTGAAGGAAGGTCCTTGGCGCCGACGCAGATCAGCCTCCTCCTGGGCCACACACTCCGGGGCCGCCTGTTGCCGCTCCAGTTGGAAACTGGTCTCCTCCCAGACCGCCCGAAGGTCCCCCACGGGCTCTGAGAACAGGGATGTCCCTGCCACCACCACCTCAACCTGCCAGGGGGACACAGAGATGGTGAGGGACATGGCCACCATCATGGCCACCACCACCTCAACCTGCCACTGGGACATGCAGGATAGTGAGGAACATGGAGACATGGCCACCATCATGGCCACCACCACCTCAACCCACCACGGGGACATGGGGATGGTGAGGGACATGGAGACATGGCCACCATCATAGCCACCACCATGGTTATCACCTCAACCCACCACGGGGACACGGGGATGGTGAAGGACATGGCCACCACCACCTCAACCCACCACGGGGACACAGGGATGGTGAAGGACATGGAGACATGGCCACCACCACCTCAACCTGCCATGGGGACATGGCCATGGGGCATGACCATGGCCACCTCCTCTGCCACCAGGCCACCCTGGGGACATGGCCACCTCCTGTCCCACCAAGCCACCATGGGGACATAGCCATGGCCACCTCCTGTCCCACCAAGCCACCATGGGGACATGGTCATGGGGACACGGCCATGGCCACCATGACGCTATGGGGACAATGGCCACCTCCTGTCCCACCATGACACCATAGGGACACGGCCATGAGGACATGGCCATGGCCACCTCCTGTGCCCCCAGGCCACCCTGGGGACAATGACCACCTCCTGTCCCACCATGACACCATGGGGACATGGCCATGGGGATGGGCATGACCATGGCCACCTTCTCTCCCACCATGACACCATGGGGACATGGTCATGGGGACATAGCCATGGCCACCTCCTCTGCTACCAGGCCGCCATGAGGACAGTGGCCACCTCCTGTCCCCCCAGGCCACCATGGGGATATGGCCATCTCCTGTCCCACCAAGCCACCATGGGGACATGGCCATGGCCACCATGACACTATGGGGACAATGGCCACCTCTTGTCCCACCATGACACCATGGGGACACAGCCATGAGGACATGGCCATGGTCACCTCCTGTCCCCCCAGGCCACCGTGGGGACAATGGCCACCTCCTGTCCCACCAAGCCACCATGGGGACATGGCCATGGCCACCTCCTGTCCCACCATGACACCATGGGGACATGGCCATGGGGATGGGAATGACCATGGCCACCTTCTCTCCCACCAGGCCACCATGGGGACACGGCCATGGCCACCTCCTGTCCCACCATGACACCATGGGGACATGGCCATGGGGATGGGCATGACCATGGCTACCTCCTCTCCCACCAGGCCACCATGGGGACATGGCCATGGCCACCTCCTGTCCCACCAGGCCACCGTGGGGACAATGACCACCTCCTGTCTCCCCAGGCCACCATGGGGACATGGCCATGGCCACCTCCTGTCCCACCATGACACCATGGGGACATAGCCATGGGGATGGGCATGACCATGGCCACCTTCTCTCCCACCAGGCCACCATGGGGACATGGCCATGGCCACCTCCTCTCCTACCAGGCCACCACCTGCAGGTCCACCTCCCAAATCCCCTCCCGTGCCCACGAGGACCAGCCGTGTCCCCTCCTGCCACCCCTCCGTGTCCCCACGTCCCCTCACCGTGGCCTCGGGCCCGTAGGGGCCGCTGTGGCCGATGGGGACACAGGACACGCCGGCCTCCTGGTAGCGGCGACAGACGGCCACGCTGGTGGCCACCGGCACCTCCAGCACCAACCCCGGCTCCTCCGCGAACAACACGGCCAGCGCTGCGGGGACAGGGGGACAAGGGGGGGACGGGGGCCATCAGAGGTGGAGATATGGGTCATGGGGACATGGGGGACAAGGGACATGGGGACAGGAGTGTTGGGGACATGGGAGAAGGTTGGAAGAGGGGGACATGGGCCATCAGACGTGGAGATGTGGGACATGGGAACATGGGGGAGAGGGGACATGGGACAGGAGTGTTGGGGACATGGGACAAGGGTGGAAGAGGGTGGTAGGGGCCACCAGACATGGAGATGTGGGTCATGGGACACATGGGGACAAGGGGACAATGGGGAGACAAGGGCCATCAGACATGGAGATATGGGTCATGGGGACATGGGGGACAAGGGACATGGGGACAGGAGTGTTGGGGACAGGGGCCATCAGACGTGGAGATGGGGGACAAGGGGACCAGGTGGGGACAGGTGCCATCAGACATGGAGATATGGGTCATGGGGACATGGGACACATGGGGACAAGGGGACAAAGTGGGGATGGGGGCCATCAGACGTGGAGATATGGGTCATGGGGACATGGGGGACAAGGGACATGGGGACAGGAGTGTTGGGGACATGGGACAAGGGTGGAAGAAGGGGACATGGGCCATCAGACATGGAGATATGGGCCATGGGGACATGGTGGAGAGGGGACATGGGACAGGAGTGTTGGGGACATGGGACAAGGGTGGAAGAGGGGGACAGGGGCCATCAGACGTGGAGATGGGGGACATGGGACACATGGGGACAAGGGGACAAGGAGGGGACAGGGGCCATCAGACGTGGAGATATGGGTCATGGGGACATGGGGGACAAGGGACATGGGGACAGGGGTGTTTGGGACATGGGACAAGGGTGGAAGAAGGGGACATGGGCCATCAGACATGGAGATATGGGTCATGGGGACATGGGGGACAAGGGACATGGGGACAGGAGTGTTGGGGACATGGGACAAGGGTGGAAGAGGGTGATAGGGGCCACCAGAGATGGAGATCGGGGACATGGGGACAAGGGGACAAAGGGGTGATAGGGGCCACATGACCATGGCTACCTCCTCTCCCACCAGGCCACCATGGGGACATGGCCATGGCCACCTCCTGTCCCACCAGGCCACCGTGGGGACAATGACCACCTCCTGTCTCCCCAGGCCACCATGGGGACATGGCCATGGCCACCTCCTGTCCCACCATGACACCATGGGGACATAGCCATGGGGATGGGCATGACCATGGCCACCTTCTCTCCCACCAGGCCACCATGGGGACATGGCCATGGCCACCTCCTCTCCTACCAGGCCACCACCTGCAGGTCCACCTCCCAAATCCCCTCCCGTGCCCACGAGGACCAGCCGTGTCCCCTCCTGCCACCCCTCCGTGTCCCCACGTCCCCTCACCGTGGCCTCGGGCCCGTAGGGGCCGCTGTGGCCGATGGGGACACAGGACACGCCGGCCTCCTGGTAGCGGCGACAGACGGCCACGCTGGTGGCCACCGGCACCTCCAGCACCAACCCCGGCTCCTCCGCGAACAACACGGCCAGCGCTGCGGGGACAGGGGGACAAGGGGGGGACGGGGGCCATCAGAGGTGGAGATATGGGTCATGGGGACATGGGGGACAAGGGACATGGGGACAGGAGTGTTGGGGACATGGGAGAAGGTTGGAAGAGGGGGACATGGGCCATCAGACGTGGAGATGTGGGACATGGGAACATGGGGGAGAGGGGACATGGGACAGGAGTGTTGGGGACATGGGACAAGGGTGGAAGAGGGTGATAGGGGCCACCAGACGTGGAGATGTGGGTCATGGGGACATGGGGGACAAGGGACATGGGGACAGGAGGGTTGAGGACATGGGACAAGGGTGGAAGAGGTTGATAGGGGCCACCAGAGATGAGATGGAGATGTGGGTCATGGGGACAAGGGGACAATGGGGGAACAAGGGCCATCAGAGGTGGAGATATGGGTCATGGGGACATGGGGGAGAGGGGACAATTGGACAGGAGTGTTGGGGACAAGGGACAAGGGCTGGAAGAGGGTGATAGGGGCCACCAGACATGGAGATGTGGGTCATGGGGACATGGGGACAAGGATGTGGGACATTGGGGACATGGGGACAGGAGTAGTTGGGGACAGGGGACAAGGGTGGAAGAGGGTGATAGGGGCTATCAGAGATGGAGATGTGGGTCATGCCAGGGTCACCCAGGGTCACCCCGTGTCACCCCATGTTACCCAGGGTCACCCAGGGTCACCATGGGTCACCCAATGTCACCCCATGTCATCCAAGGTCACCATGGGTCACCCCACGTCACCCCAGGTCACCCAGGGTCACTCAGGGTCACCCAGGGTCACCCCATGTCACCCAGTGTCATCACAGGTCATGGGGGACATGGGGGACAAGGGACATGGGGACAGGAGTGTTGGGGACATGGGACAAGGGTGGAAGAAGGGGATAGGGGCCACCAGATGTGGAGATGGAGGACATGGGACATGGGGACAAAGTGGGGATGGGGGCCATCAGACGTGGAGATATGGGTCATGGGGACATGGGGGACAAGGGACATGGGGACAGGAGTGTTGGGGACATGGGACAAGGGTGGAAGAGGGTGATAGGGGCCACCAGAGATGAAGATGGGGGACATGGGACATGGGGACAAGGGGGGGATGGGGGCCATCAGACGTGGAGATATGGGTCATGGGGACATGGGGGACAAGGGACATGGGGACAGGAGTGTTGGGGACATGGGACAAGGGTGGAAGAGGGTGATAGGGGCCACCAGACATGGAGATGTGGGACATGGGGACATGGGGATGTGGGGACAGAGGGACATGGGGTCACCAGGAGGTGACAGGAGGTGGGACACGGAGCTGAGGGTTCTCCAGGGGGTTCCTGGGGGGGTGGTTCTTGGGATGGTGGTTCTTGGGGGGGTTCTCCAGGGATGGGGGTTGTCCCAGGGAAGGGGGAAGGAGGTGACAAGGTGGTGACAAGGGGGGAGGTGACTCACTGGAGGTGCCGGGGGGAACGGTGGCCACGTCCATGTGGAGGCCACAGTTGCCGGCGAAGGCCATCTCCAGGACGCAGCCCAGGAGCCCCCCGTCGCTCACGTCGTGGCCCGCGCTCAGCGCCCCCTCTGCCGGGGGGGACACGGTCACCCAGTGTCACCCCGGGGTCACCAAGGGTCACCCAGGGCCACCCCAGGTCACCACAGGGTCACTCAGGGTCACCCAGTGTCACCCAGGGTCACCCCAGGTCACCCCACGTCACCCAGTGTCACCCCAGGTCACCCAGTGTCACCCCGGGGTCACCAAGGGTCATCCAGGGTCACCCCAGGTCACCCCATGTCATCCAGTGTCATCACAGGGTCACCAAGGGTCATCCAGAGTCACCCCAGGTCACTCAGGGTCACCCCATGTCACCCAGGGTCACCATGGGTCACCCCATGTCACCTCAGGTCACCCAGGGTCACTTAGGGTCACCCAATGTCACCCCAGGTCACCCCGTGTCACCCCAGGTCACCCAGTGTCACCCCATGTCACCCCAGGTCATCCCAGGTCACCCCAGGTCATCCAGTGTCACCCTGGGGTCACCAAGGGTCACCCCATGTTACCCAGGGTCACCCAGGGTCACCATGGGTCACCCAATGTCACCCCATGTCATCCAAGGTCACCATGGGTCACCCCACGTCACCCCAGGTCACCCAGGGTCACTCAGGGTCACCCAGGGTCACCCCATGTCACCCAGTGTCATCACAGGGTCACCCAGTGTCACCCCAGGTCACCCCAGGTCACCCAGGGTCACCGCGTGTCACCCCAGGTCACCCAATGTCACCCAGGGTCACCGTGGGTCACCCAGTGTCATCCCAGGTCACTCAGGGCCACCCAGTGTCACCCCAGGTCACCTCAGGTCACCAAGGTTCACCCCATGTCACCCCAGGTCACCCAGGGTCACTTAGGGTCACCCAGTGTCCTCCTGGGTCACCCAGTGCCACCTCAGGGTCATCCAATGTCACCCCAGGTCACCCAGGGTCACCCAGTGTCATCCAGGGTCACTTAGGGTCACCCAATGTCACCCCAGGTCACTCAGGGTCACCTTGTGTCATCCCAGGGTCACCCTGTGTCACCCCAGGTCATCCAGGGTCACCAGGGTCACCTTGTGTCACCCCATGTCACCCCAGGTCACCTCAGGTCACCCAGGGTCACTGTGAACGGTGGCCACGTCCATGTGGAGGCCACAGTTGCCGGCGAAGGCCATCTCCAGGACGCAGCCCAGGAGCCCCCCGTCGCTCACGTCGTGGCCCGCGCTCAGCGCCCCCTCTGCCGGGGGGGAAAAGGGTCACCTTGTGTCACCCCATGTCACCCCAGGTCACCTCAGGTCACCCAGGGTCACTGTGGGTCACCCAATGTCACCCCAGGTCACCCCAGGTCATCCAGGGTCACTGTGGGTCACCCAAGGTCATCCAGGGTCACCCAATTTCACCCCAGGCCACCCTGGGTGACCAGGGGTCACAGCACCCCAAAATGTCCCCATGGTTTGAAGCACCCCAAGATGTCACCACCCCAAGATGTTCACCACCCCCTTTGGTTACTCTAAAGCCCCCCAGGGACACGGTCACCCAGTGTCACCCCGGGGTCACCAAGGGTCACCCAGGGCCACCCCAGGTCACCACAGGGTCACTCAGGGTCACCCAGTGTCACCCAGGGTCACCCCAGGTCACCCCACGTCACCCAGTGTCACCCCAGGTCACCCAGTGTCACCCCGGGGTCACCAAGGGTCATCCAGGGTCACCCCAGGTCACCCCATGTCATCCAGTGTCATCACAGGGTCACCAAGGGTCATCCAGAGTCACCCCAGGTCACTCAGGGTCACCCCATGTCACCCAGGGTCACCATGGGTCACCCCATGTCACCTCAGGTCACCCAGGGTCACTTAGGGTCACCCAATGTCACCCCAGGTCACCCCGTGTCACCCCAGGTCACCCAGTGTCACCCCATGTCACCCCAGGTCATCCCAGGTCACCCCAGGTCATCCAGTGTCACCCTGGGGTCACCAAGGGGTGTCCCCTCCCCCCCATGTCCCCTCCCCCACCTTGGATGAGGCTCTGGGTGACGCGGAAGGCGCTGGCCAAGATTTCGGGGTGCTCCAGGTCGGGGCACTGGTCCCCCAACTGGGAGAAGACCTGGGCCAAGGCGCTGCCCCCCAAACGGTGCTTCCCGGGGCTCAGCTGCACCCACAGCAGGGCTCCTGGGGGGGGACCCCAAAATCCGTGAGCACCCCCAAAGGCACCCTGACCCCCTCCCCAGGGGTCACAGCACCCCAAAATGTCCCCATGGTTTGAAGCACCCCAAGATGTCACCACTCCAAGATGTTCACCACCCCCTTTGGTTACTCTAAAGCTCCCCATGGGCACCCCCAAAACTCCCCAGGGGTCACAGAGGGGCTCATGGGGGGACCCCAAAAATCTGGGGGGGCCTACAGCACCCCAAAAGGCACCCTGACCCCCCCCCAGGGGTCACAGCACCCCAAAATGTCCCCATGGTTTGAAGCACCCCAAGATGTCACCACTCCAAGATGTTCACCACCCCCTTTGGTTACTCTAAAGCTCCCCATGGGCACCCCCAAAACTCCCCAGGGGTCACAGAGGGGCTCATGGGGGGACCCCAAAAATCTGGGGGGGCCTACAGCACCCCAAAAGGCACCCTGACCCCCCCCCAGGGGTCACAGCACCCCAAAATGTCCCCATGGTTCGAAGCACCCCAAGATGTTCACCACCCCCTTTGGTTACTCTAAAGAACCTCATGGGCACCCCAAAACTCCCCAGGGGTCACAGAGGGGCTCCTGGGGGGACCCCAAAATCCGTGAGGGGGGGTACAGCACCCCCAAAGGCACCCTGACCCCCACCCAGGGGTCACAGCACCCCAAAATGTCCCCATGGTTTGAAGCACCCCAAGATGTCACCACCCCAAGATGGTCACCACCCCCTTTGGTTACTCTAAAGAACCTCATGGGCACCCCAAAACTCCTCAGGGGTCACAGAGGGGTTCTGGGGGACCCCAAAATCCATGGGGGGGTTCTTGGCTCCCTGAGGTCACCCCAATCCCCCCCCCCCCCCCGAGGTCACTGACCTTTGCCGTCGGGACACTTGAGGTCGGGGGTGACGGTGGCCGTGATGTCGGGGCACACGGCGTAGGCCGAGACCACCACGGTGCCTGGGCAGGGGTCAGAGGTCACAAGGGGTCACCGGGGGTCATGGGTCATGGTGGGGGGGAGAAGGAGTGGTGGCACCCATGACCCCTCATGACGTTGGTGACCCACCATCAGGATGGTGGCACCCATGGGTCCAACCCAACGCTGTGGCACCATGAGCCATCATCAGGATGGTGGCACCCATGGGTCCTGGTGCACCCACAACTCATCACCATGGTGGTGGCACCATGACCCATCACCATGGTGGTGGCACCCATGGGTCCAACCCAACACTGTGGCACCCATGACCCATCACCATGGTGGTAGCACCCATGGGTCATGGTGCACCCACAACTCATCACCACGGTGGTGGCACCCAAGAGCCATCACCAAGATGGTGGCAACATCACCCATCATCATTGTGGTGGCACCCAGGGTCCTGGTGCTGTGGCACCCATGACCCCTCATGAAGATGGTGGCACCCACAACCCATCATTGTGGTGGCACCCATGACCATCACCATGGTGGTGGCACCCATGGGTCATGGTGCACCCACAACTCATCACCACGGTGGTGGCACCATGACCCATCATCATCTTGGTGGCACCCATGAGTCACAGCTCCATGGTGGTGGCCCCCATGACCATCACCATGGTGGTGGCACCCACGAGCCATCACCAAGATGGTGGCACCATCACCCATCACCATGGTGGTGGCACCCATGGGTCATGGTGCACCCACAACTCATCACCACGGTGGTGGCACCCATGAGCCATCACCAAGATGGTGGCAACACCACCCATCATCATTGTGGTGGCACCCGTGGGTCCTGGTGCTGTGGCACCCATGACCCCTCATGAAGATGGTGGCATCCACAACCCATCATTGTGGTGGCACTCACGACCCATCACCATGGTGGTGTCACCATCACCCATCATCATTTTGGTGGCACCCATGGGTCACAGGTCCATGGTGGTGGCCCCCATGACCCCTCATTATGTTGGTGGCACCCACGACCCATCACGGTGGTGGCACCCATGGGTCCATCCCAACGCTGTGGCACCATGACCCATCACCATGGTGGTAGCACCCATGAGTGGCACCCATGGGTCCATCTCAACCCATGACCCCTCATTAAGCTGGTGGCACCCACAACCCATCATCAAGGTGGTACCACCCATGGGTCCTGGTGCACCCACAGCCCATCCCACGATGGTGGCACCACCACCCATCACCACGGTGGTGGCACCATCACCCATCACCATGGTGGTGGCACCATCACCCAACCTCCCAATGGTAACACCCCTGGATCTCCCCTCCACGGTGGTAGCCCCCATGACCCCTCATCACGTTGGTGGCACCCACAACCCATCACCATGGTGGTGGCACCCATCACCCATCACCATGGTGGGGGCACCCATGGGGCCATCCCAACGCTGTGGCACCCATGACCCATCACCATGGTGGTGGCACCCATCACCCATCACCATGATGGTGGCACCCATGGGTCATGGTGCACCCACAACTCATCACCACGGTGGTGGCACCATCACCCATCACCATGGTGGTGGCACCCATGGGTCCATCCCAACACTGTGGCACCCACAACTCATCACCACGGTGGTGGCAACATCACCCATCATCATTGGGGTGGAACCCATGGGTCCTGGTGCACTCACAACTCATCACCATGGTGGTGGCACCATGACCCATCACCACGGTGGTGGCACCCATGGGTCCTGGTGCACCCACAGCTCATCACCACGGTGGTGGCACCATGACCATCACCATGGTGGTGGCACCCATGGGTCCTGGTGCACCCACAGCTCATCACCACGGTGGTGGCACCATCACCCATCACCACGGTGGTGGCACCCATGGGTCCTGGTGCTGTGGCCCCCATCCCACGGTGGTGCCACCACCACCCAACCTCCCAGTGGTGACACCCCTGGATCTCCCCTCCACGGTGGTGGCCCCCGTGACCCCGTGTCCCCCCAAAACACCCCTCCTGGTCCCCCCCGGGACTCACCGGGCGCCATGACGGTTTGGGTGCCCACGCGGGCCGCCATGCTGAGCGAGTCCTTGCCGCCGTCGATGGCCACCCCCAGGCGGTGCAGGAGCCCCACCAGCCCCTCGCAGGCCGTCACCAGAGCGCCCCCCTCCGCCCCCGTCTTGCCGCCCCACATCCAGTTCCCCGAGCACTTCACGTCCTGGGGACGGCCAGAAACAGGGACACGTGGAGAAGGTGGGGACACGGAGAAGGTGGGGACACAGGAAGACATGAGGACACGGGGGACACCAAGAAGATGGGGATGGAAGGGACATGGAGAAGGTGGGGACACAGGGACATGGAGAAGGTGGGGACACAGGAGGACATGAGGACATGGGGGACACCAAGAAGATGGGGACATGGGGGACACGGAGAAGGTGGGGACACAGGGGGACATGAGGACACGGGGGACACCAAGAAGATGGGGACATGGGGGGACATGAGGACATGGGGGACACCAAGAAGATGGGGATGGGGGGGACATGGAGAAGGTGGGGACACGGGGGGACATGAGGACATGGGGGACACCAAGAAGATGGGGACATGGGGGACACCAAGAAGATAGCCACGTCACCACCACGTCATTCTTCCCGCAGCCACCCCCTGGTCACGCCACGATGGTGATGGTGGCCCCCTTGGCCTGGCCACCCCATGGCCAACCCAAGACCACATCATGGCTCCTGTAGCCACGTGGTGGCCACGCCGTGGTGGTGGCATGTCCCCCATGGTGTGGCCACCCCATAGCCACGTCACCACCACGTCATTCTTCCCATAGCCACCCCCTGGCCACCCCATTCTGATGGTGGCCCCATTGGCCTGGCCACCCCATGGCCAACCCAAGACCACCTCACGGCTTCCGTAGCCACGTGGTGGCCCCAGCACTCACCCGGAGGTCGGTGATGCGGGCGAAGACCAGGTTGGTGAGGGCCTCGGTGAGGGCCAATCGGGCGCCGGCGGCCGGGTCCAAGAGGCCCTTGATGGGCTGCTCGCCCAGGGCGGTGGCCGCCCCCACCGTGTCGAAGTGGGACAGGGCCACCACGGCCACGTCGGCGAGCGGTGTGTGCAGGGGCCCCACGCACTGCTGCTGGGCCACCAGCCCCGTCACCGAGCGGTCCACCTGCCCCAGGGGACAACCGACTTAGAAGGGTGGGTGGTCACGGGGCCAGGGTTGGGACATGGAAGGGATGGTGGCCACCAAGTGGGTTGGGGACACAGAGAGGCTGTGGCCACCAAGTGGGTTGGGGACACAGAGAGGCTGTGGCCACCAAGTGGGTTGGGGACACAGAGAGGCTGTGGCCACCAAGTGGGTTGGGGACACAGAGAGGCTGTGGCCACCAAGTGGGTTGGGGACACAGAGAGGCTGTGGCCACCAAGTGGGTTGGGGACACAGAGAGGCTGTGGCCACCAAGTGGGTTGGGGACATGGAAGGGGATTGGTGGCCACCAAGTGGGTTGGGGCCATTGAGGGGATTGGTGGCCACCAAGTGGGGTGGGGACATGGAGGGGATTGGTGGCCACCAAGTGGGCTGGGGACATGGTGGGGTTTGGTGGCCACCAAGAGGGGTGGG